GACAGCCTATTTTTTGTATGCCCATGCCAATAGTTTAGAATCATGGTAAACAGTGCAGCAGGGAACAGAGTTGTGATTTTATGGTTACATTGAGGCTACAAGTTTTAGCTGCCCAACTTAATTCAAGAAATTTTGAAATCAATGTGAATCCAAGCTATTCCTTTAATTTTAAAATCAAGGTATAATTCATTCAGATACAGAAGAATGAATAAGTACAGTGTGGAATACAGTTGACCCTTGAACAACATGGTTTGAAGAGTGTGGGTCCACTTGTACATGACAGTGTTTTTTTTTCCAAAAATACCTATACTGTTTTTGATCCGCAGTTGGGAGTCCACAGATGTGGAGGGCCAACCATATGCATTAATCTACACCACCGGTTTTTTTTTTTTTTTTTTAGCTGAGCCATCCTGCTACCTGTTGGCAGCTCAGCGGCAGCTCACCTCAGGCCGGGAATCGAACTGCTATTGCTCAGAGCTCAAACTCTTGAGCGAGCTCTTAACCAACTGAGCCACTCGGCCGGCCCTATACCATTTTATATAGGGGACTGGAATATCAACAGACTTTGGTATCCACAGCAGTGGTGGTCGGGGGGATATCCTGGAACCAATTTCCCATGGATACTAAGAAACAACTTAGGTTTTGGGAGAGTCAAAAGTTATAGGTGGATTTTTCACTGCAAAGGGATTGGTGACCCAACCCCTGCATTATTCAAGGATCAACTGTACTTATACAATGGAATACTATTCACAAATTAACATGAATAGAGTTACATGTACCATCATGGATTTCAAAAACATATTAAACAAAGAAACAAATTGCAGAAAAAGACATGCAAAATGATACATTTATATGAAGTTTAAAACATGCTATATGATAAACTGTTTAAAGCTGTTACATATATGGTAATAATATAAAATAATCAAGTGAATGATAAGCACTAAATTCAGAATACTGACTGCCTGGTGAGGAAAGGGAGGGATAAAAGGAGAGGAAAGGGACTGAAGACAGATGATAATGAACTTTAATTGTATCTGTACTGTTTTATTAAAAATCGAAACTAAAAATGGCAAAATACTAAGACTTGACAAAACTTGATGGTGGCTACACAGATAATACATTCTAGTGTTCTCTATATTTTCATATGTATAAAATATTTTAAAACATAAATTTAAGAATAAATTAGTTCATAGAAGAAATCCAATGAAAAAGTCAAACTATATGTTATGCTTAAGTTACTCTGGGGCAACCAAGTCCTAAAGTTTAAAAATGATTCTCAGGCGCTGGCTGAGTGGTGCGTTGGTTAAGAGTTGGCTTGGGACGCCAGCTCTGAGCAGCAGGGCCCCGGTTTGGATCCCACGTAATGGTCAGTGATGCTGCACCCTCTCCAGCTAAGATGGTGAACAACAGCTCCACCTTGGAGCTGGGCTGCCGTGACGCGCCGGCGACGGCGTAGGCTGCAGCAGGACTGCAGTGGGCTGCCGTAGCTATCATGAGTGGCTGGCAGCCAGCGTGAGCGGCCGGTGGCGTAAGCTGCCATGAGCGGCCGTCCAATGCCAGGTGACCGATCTGCCTCAGCAGGGAAGAGCACAATGATCACAATACCAACATGGGCCAGTGAAGCGACGTCCTCCACAACTAGACTGAAGAAAAAAAGGATAGCCACTTGTCTGTTCCCCTTCCCCAATTCCTCAAAGCTGTTCCCTCCCCCAATTCCCCCAATAAAACATTTTTTAAAAAAATAAAAACGATTCTCAGAACAATACCTTTTCGATAGTCATGAGATTTGAAGATACCAGAGATTCCACCAATCCTTACACCTCGGTATTTTACTACACCTGCCAAACCTGAAAAATTACAGTTAAATAAGATTACTACAGGCAAAAGCAATCTCTTTACTAACTCAATGAACCGTTTAGTAGCCTAGAATTCCATGCAGTCCTAATATTATTTGAAAATTAAGCATCATGATGAAGCTACTCTTTTACATAGCAATATGCCAACAATATATAAGGTAGACTAGGAAGGGGAGGCTTAGAAGCAGATCAAGCAAAAGGCTAAGCAGAAAGAAAAAAACAAATGAGATAGGATGTAGTAAGAGAGAAATAGGCATATTGGTATCTAATGGAATATGAAGGTTGGTGTAGGGGGATGGGGAAAAGTGTCCTATGATAGACTTACATTATACATCTGAAAGTCAACAAGTATAAGGTATAAAGAAACTACAATTTCTATATTTCATTTCTGATTGATCATCTTCAGACAATTTCACCTTTTCGTAATATTGCAGTTGTCAAAGATGATCAATCAGTAATGAAGTAGAGAAATTAAATTCCTGAATTATGATATCATTAGTAGAAACACCTATAAAGATTTAAGCAAACAGATGAAAGGACTGTATAGTTTAAAGGGACTAAAACTAAACCTGAATCTAACCAGGTCTATAAATCTAAATGCAGATTATAGACAATGCAAAGGATAAAAGGAACATGTTAAAACAACACAAGAAATCCCAATACCTAAATCCAGAATGCTGGAAATTCTACAAGAAAATTTTCTTCAACAAATAAGTGGCAGGAGGGTGGGGGAAGAGAGAGAAACAAANCCACCGCACTGTATTTCTGAAGCTGATGTTGAATAATAATGTATGTCAACTATAATTATATATACATATAGTCACGGGATGTGGAGTAGAGTGTGGGAATGGAGTCAGTGGAATTGTAATAGATAAGCATGATATCGGGGGTGGGAGGGCAGTAGATAGGGGGAGGAGGGTTGTTACTTTGTGAGGGTGAAAAGGATAACTATTGCATTGTTCTGTACACCTGAAACTAACAATAAAAAAATTTTAAAAAATATCTCTCTAGACCCAGCTTCACTCTGTTACCTCTTCTGCTTAGGTTAGGACCTCATCTGTTGCTTAAATAGCTTCCTCTGCCTCCTATTTTACATTACTCCAATGCATATGTAAAACTGCTGCCGAACTCATCTTTCTAAAATGACAATCTGATTTCATCACACCCCAACTTTCCCCGTTACCTTCTGGTGGAAACCCAGACTCCATCCAGAGCACAGCCCAGAAGGCAGTTAGGATCTCGTTCCGTCCAGCTTCAACACTCACCGCACCTCAGCCACGGGATCTAGCTGCAGTTCCCCGAAAGGCACCATGTTACCAGGCCTCTGGCCTTCGCACACCCTGGTCCCTCGTCCTAGATTACCCTAATAATCGGCTTCTTCCTGGCACCAACAATCCCTTCGGAAAAGCTTCTCTACCACTTCATCTCTCTGTCCACATCCCCATCGCACCACAGTCTGGCTCAGGTGCTCCCACAGTACGCTAGCACTTTTAGTCACAAACTTATTACACTACTTTATCATTGCTTGCTTGTCTCTTTCCCTCACTGGATACTGAGTTACTCACAAGAGGAAAGTTATCTTTGATTTCTTTCTCTAGCTTTACAACTGTGCAAATCCCATAGATGTTCAATAAGTGTTTGTCAAGTGAAAGAATAAATATTGTGTTTTCTACCTGATGCTGCATCAAGGCTGCAAACTTCACATGAAGGTGTGCGGAGAACCAGTAAGTAGGTTTTAAGTGCTCTAAAAGCTCTGAGGCAGCAGGACTTCCTAAGGTGTTGTTTTCCACCTCTTGTCGGAAGAAAGATTTAGTCTTCAGAAGTTGCTTCTTATTTCCATAATGATATATACTTCTTGGCCAATCATGAGATAAGAATATGTCCATAGGCTTCTTTAGCTTTAACAGAAAAAGAAAACTCTTAAAAACAGATTAACCACAAGCAATCCCCCTCGCCCTTCCTTCCACCACCACCTTAACATGTATCCACTTAGCTCTCTGAATTTCTGTGTAATTCATTCTAAGGGTACTTTCTTATTTACATAAGGAAGTCACAGAAATACTGAGCTGCTCACTCATGTAGGTCAAAGGAGACAGCTTTCTCTCTGCCTCACAAATCATCCTACTGCATTCTTTTTTTTTTTTTAAGCTGAACCATGCTGCCACCTATTGGCAGCTCAGCTCAGGCTGGGAATCAAACCGGCGACCCTGTTGCTCAGAGCTCGCACTCTTGAGCAAGCTCTTAACCAACTGAGCCACTCGACTGGCCCACAAATCATCCTTCTTTTCCGGCAAGGCAGGTCAACAGAGACACACTTTGATTAGACTGCCAATCAGCTATGGTCTTTAGCAGTGTGTTTCTAAAATATATAATAACCATTGTTCTTTTCCTTTTATGGTAAAGAAATTACTGGCTTTAAGATCCAGAGACACTAGATTTCATGAGACCTCTAATGTAAATGATACACCCAAAAGATATACCCCACTTTTTTTCCTAATGGACTCACATGGTACCCACCAAAAAAACTGTTTACTTAATAAGTTATGTTTGAGGTATTTAAGGTGGCTGGTGTCTTCATGGGGGGAGGGGGGTTGTTAAAAAATATATTCCATACTTTACACATCCCCAGCACCTTCAACTAATCTGAAACAAACACTTGAAAAACTAAATTAAAATAACTTCAGTGTCTGAGAAAAGGCAAAATATAAGACAGAGATGACTAACCACTGAATAACTGGTATGGGCAACAAGCGCCATGAAAATTCAGAGAAGGGTGATGGCCTTAAACTAGAACACTGGTTGGGAAGTGGTATCTAAGCTGGGTCTTCAAGGACTGGTAGGATTTAGACTGGTGAAAGGAGAAAAGCACTCAGAGTGAGGACTTGTTGTGAATAGGCAATAAAGAAATGCCCATGAGAATCCTTATGCTCCCAGCGCTGTGATGGATGGGAAGGGCCTAAGTTCACTCAGGCAGACTCTACCACTTAACTACTTGGCAAGTCTTGGACATGTTACTTACCTACCTGAGCCTTGGCCTCTCATTCTTAATGTAATAAAGTTGAAGTAACACCTACCTCATAGAATTTGAGTGGTGATGATATGAAATATCGTGTGAGAACGGCTTAGCCCGGTGTCAGGCATTTAATGGGTTCTCAAACAAAAAATCTGGTTTCACCTACTTTCCAGGTAAGCCAGTGTTTCAACACCATCTTCACAATTTTCCCATTATCTCCTGTCATCTTTACTACTATTTATTTTCTACTTAATACCATTATTTAAAATAAAATATTTAATATTTTCTTTAAAGTATCACTTTATTCCAGTACATATTCATTAGCCTTACCCTAAGAAATAATATCTGAAATCATGGATTAAATGTTATCTTACTTACTAAAATAAATGTATAAAAAAATTTAAATGTTCATCTATGTACCTCCTAAAACCAACTCGAGACCCAAATTTTAGAAATACTGAATTAAATTCTTCTTGGAAGTAGTACACCAAAATGATCAAAATACATTTTGGTACAGAATTACTTTTAACATTTTTTCAATTCTGCTGTAATGTACTTTTTACATACCTGCTTTAATTTATACACTTCAATGTTTCTCACATGATATATACTCCTTATTGTAGCTGAATTATAAGGGGGGCACTCAAAATGACCTTAAATTGAAGAAGAGAAATAAGCTGTAGTCAGTACCTTTAAATGCTGCAAATACAAATACATACTCGTATACACACTTCCCCAAAACTGTTTTTCTTCACTGCTTTTGGTTCTTAAAATTTTATTAAAAACACAGCCCTTAATATGTTGGTATTTTCTACTAATAAGTGGTCCCAAACTATACATGTAAATAATCAGGGTGCTTGTGATTTTTTTAATTAAATTATATTTAATTTTAGAGTACACTGTTTATTAGCAGTTTAAAGTTTCAAAGATACTATCAGAAAAGTAAAAAGTGGTCCTCCTAGAGAGCAGACCAGTGGATGCCTAAGGCTGGATGGGAGCAGGGGTTAACTACAAATAGGCAAAAAACTTTTAAAGATGATATAAATGATCTAAACCTGGATGGTGGTAAAATCTGGATGTATAACTCTACAAATTGACTAAAATGATTGAATTGTATACTTACAATGGTATATAAATTTTACCTCAAATAAAGCTGTCAAAACAAAGGGAGGGGTCCTCCTACTCCTGTCCCCCAGCCATGAGTAACCCTACCTAGAGCCAGCTAGTGTTAATCAGGTTTTGGTATTTTATTCCAGGGATATNTGGGATGTGATATTTGTACTAAAAAAAGAAATCACTGAATTATGTACTTAAATGAATGAATTTTATGGAAATTATATACCAATAAAGCTATTTTTAGAAAAGTGAACTGTCAGAAAGAAACATGGCAGGGGGGAGGGGGGTCACAAGCATGAAGGTCAGAAAAAAAGTGACTCCCTAAAAGCAGTGAGATACATGGAGGGAAAAAGACAAGGAAGCAAGCTATGGGACGTCCCGCTGAGGACCAGGTATCAATTCAGTGCTGATGAGGAACTAAGAGAAGTGAAGGCACAGGGATTACAGGCTGATGTTGGCACCTGGGCAGTTCTGAAGAAAGGTGTTCTTTGGTGTTAGTGAAGGGGTAGAAAGAGAACACTGGCCAAGACAGAGGAGGTTGGGGAGCCAAGAAAAAGGGATCAAATATGTCATTCTTGCAGAGATAAAAGTCTCTGAGGTTGATAACAGAAGATGGAGTGTGGGAAAAGTAGCAAAATAAAAATCCAAGAGTGTCAGGAGCCCTAAGAGACAGAAGAGAATAACACAGGCGTGGAAAACGTGACTGTTAACGAACAGGTGACTTGGACTTTGGTACTGGCCCAAAGGAAAATAAAAGGAGTAAGCTTGCCTCCTTCTCCCAGTGAAACTGAGGATATGCCCACTCTAGGAAGGGCCTACAGGAATGTTTCCAGGGAGAGCCTTCCAAACCATGTTTGAGGAAAACCGTTCAAGTGTACATCTACCACAGAAAAGTGTTAGGTCAAGTAAGTTCTGGAAGCACTGCACACCACATGCCACTCTTGGAGAAAGGCCACACCCATTAGTACATTAAAGGCTCAGAAATTCTATAGAAGCTTCTGAGATAAAATCTCTAACTCTGTTAAAGATTTTCTAAACGTTTTCCCTTTGAAACACGTTATGGGAAAGTCAGAGTTCCGTCAGAATTGGAGGTGAAAGAAAGAATTGCATATTTCCATAAAAGCCTAATTTTAAATATATATTTATTTTCTACCTCCCATCTAGCACCATCATCCATGCAGCTAACCCAAGAAAAACTCTGGGAGCCATCCTAGACTCTCTCCTTCCTCTGTCACCAAATCCTGAAGATTCTACTTCCAAAATCTCTCTAGGGCTGGCTGAGTGGCTCAGTTGGTTAAGAGTTCGCTCAAGAGTGAGAGCTTTGAGCAACAGCGGTTCGAGTCCCGGCCCGAGCTGAGCTGCCGCTGAGCTGCCAACAGGTAGCAGGATGGCTCAGCTAAAAAATAAAAGAATTTAAAAAAAATTTTTTTTAAATTGGGGTAAAGATAGTCTATTTAATAAATGGTGCTGGGAAAATTGGACTGACACATGTAAAAAAATGAAACTGGACCACCTCCTTATGCCATATACAAGAACAAATTCAAAATGGATTAAAGACTTAAATGTAAGACCTGAGACCATAAAACTCCTAGAAGAAAATATAGGGTCTAAATTTGCAGATATTACTCTGAGCAATGTTTTTACTAATACATCCCCATGGGCTAGGGAAGCAAAAGAAAAAATGAACATATGGGACTACATCAAACTTAAATGTTTTTTCACAACAAAAGAAACCATCAATAAAGCAAAAAGGAAGCCTACTGAATGGGAGAAGATATTTGTCAATGATATACCTGATAAGGGGTTAATATCCAAAATATATAAAATGCTCATGCAACTCAACACCAAAAAAA